GACAAAGCCTATTAACCCTTTCTTGCGCGGGTCAGTAGACTACACAGTCGAGCAAGTTCGCAAGTACACAACGCTGCGGCTCGCACCGTGAACAAAATAAAATGATGAATCCAAAAATTCAACAACCAACCTACCCTCAAATTCAATCAGTTCTTCTTTGTTCTCTCTCCTTCCTTTCAGTCTTTTCCATTCTTTCTCCCTGACCTTGTCTGGTATCTAGGCAACGAGATCTGACAGACCTAACGACTTACAATACTTTATCCAAGAGAAAATGTCCTACATACCGACAATGACGAATAGAGAGCACTCAAAATTGAACTTAAAACTGCATAACTTTCAACCAGGAGCTTCTTCGGGCGGCTTTGTGTTGAATCGTGACCGTGTGAACGATCCACGATACTGGTTCACGTTTCACTCCCCACCCCAGCCAAGAACCACGACAGCAAAATCGAAACCGTGTAACGACGTCATCTTCTTGCCCCGGGAATGATTTGAGATGCACTCGTAAAAATCAGTAGCTATCTCGCTTGGTTCGTTCTGATTGTAGAAGTATCAATTTATTACCTCCATAATATAACAACAATAACTTTGTAGAATGGCTAAATAATATTTTTTAGTCCATAAAGGTACAATGCTTTATGCTGACATTTCAAAAACAAAACAAAAAAGAAGCTAAAAGAAAAATGTATATCAAAGAGGTATATATACTAAGTGACATTTAAATCCGAACACCCAGTTTAAATGGTTTTATTTTAATAAAATTTTGTATAAGTACTTAATGAAGCATAATAAGTAAATGATAAAAATTTCAAAATGATTGCACTGCTTTAAAGCCCTTTGACCTTTAATAATGTGTGGATGTACCCTGATGTGCTACGCATTCTCCACCGCGCCTAGGCATGCTTCTGATCAGGTGGTCAATGTCCTCATGTGGTATCTCATTCCAGGCAACCACCAACTCTTCTCGAAGTGCTTCTAGAGTCTGAGGAGGACGTTGCAAATTGAGCAATCTCCTACCCATCATATACCACTCGTGCTCAATTGGAGATAAGTCGGGAGATCTTGGTGGCCACGGTAACAATGTGACATCATTATGTTGAAAGAAGTCTATTGTGACTCGTGCAACATGTGGTCGGGCATTATCTTGTTGGAAAGTTGGATCTGCCAGGGTGTCAAGATAGGGTAAAAGATGGGGTTCTAGAACTTCGTGGATATAACGCTGCGCGTTCATGTTACCTCTGATGAAGTTTAAAGGTGACCTGGAACCATAAGCTATAGCACCCCAAACCATAACTCCAACAGTGTGATGAACATGTCTTTCAACAAAAAACTGTGGATTCCTCCTTTCACCACGTCGCCTTCTAACCCTGGCACGACCATCGTGCATGCCTAAACAAAATCGATACTCGTCACTAAAGACAATACTGTTCCATTCCTGATCCCAGAGTGACCGTTGTCTGCACCACTCAAGGCGATTACGTCGGTGTTCTCGAGTTAAAGGGAGGACCCAGTGTGGCCGGTATGAAAACAAGCCAAAACTTCTCATTCGTCGGTAAACACTTCGCATGCCAATAGGTCTTCCGTGTTCTGCAAACCATTCATTTGCAATGAACCTGGTAGTGGAGAAACGGTCCCTTAAGGCCAATAATCTTAGGCGGCGATCTTCACGGTCTGTAGTTCTACGGCGGCGTCCAGTGCCCCTTGCTCTTTGCGTACGGCCTTCTCGAAGCCATGCCTGATAACACCTAACCACAGTGTCTACACTTCTTTGCACTCTAACTGCAATTGCCCGAAAAGAAAGTCCAGCTTCCCGAAGTCCCACTATACGGCCCCTATCAAACTCACTAAGTTGACGAAATCGTACAGGTCTCCGTACTCTAGGCATCGTAACCGATCGTAAAGGATGTCAAGAACCAAAATCCGCCAACGTTGATTCTTTACTGCGGCTGAAATATTTATTTTTAGTGAATTAAAAAAAAGCAGTATAAAAACCGGAATGTCCAACTGATAAGGCTGAAAATTTTTTCACTTGTTATTTACGGTAAGATAAATACATTCACCAACTTTTATTAAAATAAAACCATTTAAACTGGGTGTTCGGATTTATATGTCACTTAGTATATTTAGAAGACGATAACTTTTAATGAATATTTGATAGGAGCTTGATATGTTGTCTTCCTACTGAGCGTATCCATTTTGATAATTTCTTTTCAAAATTATGTGTATTTAGAAATTGTTTTAAGTCTTTGGGTACGTGTTCGTATAATTTTGGAGCCATTATGATCTTATGATGTTTCGGGGCAGTTTTTGCACGTAAATGTTCGGTCACGATATTAAAAAGAAAATAGAAGCAGACCATGGAAACAAAACAGTGTCTACAATTTGACGTTTTGATTTAAGAATCAATTTGCTTTAAAATGTCGCTTGATAGAGCAACAAACGGTACAATGACACATAATCAAATTTCGGTTAATAGCTAAATGTTCTTTCTTCGCATTTTCTTTTGTATTTCCGCAAGAAACGAGAAAGGATTTACTGAATAAATATGCCATATATGTCTGATGATGTGCAAACAATATATTTCATCATCAAAGAAAAAAATGATGTTTAACCTAACAAAAATAAACAAAAACTTTTAGATAAAGTTAGATAAGGTCCGAATATTTTTGTTTTAGGGCTCGTAGATGTGAAATATAATAGCGTCATCTATGAGACCGTAGGAGAATATAAAACTGAATTTAGAAACTGAAAACTCCATGCCTATTTTGATTGAGTATTTTCGTGCATTGATTCCATCTGAAGATACCTATCTAAAATATACAGGGTGACTTTGAAGTTGAGTCATTAATTTTCAGATAATGATTGTAGAAGGAAGATAAACCAAAATATGTGTGTAAAAATAAAAAAAAATTAAAAAAAAATTTTACCTTGTTTTATAAAGTATCCTCCCGACAAGTATTTCAGTGTGGACCTGTATTTGATCGTGAGGTCTTGGAGCACCTGTGAGGTCTTAAGTCACCTGATTCACGAGCCCGTTGTACTACATTAACAAAGGCACGAGGGGTTGGTTGCACTCGATTGGGAAACCGATCCGCATAAACATGTGCCATTTTTTATTTCGTTTGAGCCACGCAGCAAACACCACTATTCACTCACGCGTTAGCGACTGACACAGACTGAACAAAAACATCGTGATCAGCGTTTCAAATTCTTTCGCTTTTTTGTTTCCGATGCGATGAACCGATAAGGCGGATTATATCCGTTGTTGCCAAACACGAGCACATAATATTATTATTGAGACAGGGCGGTACTCAAACTTCTAAAGGGCTATAACTTTGTTACTTTAATTTTACCACAAAAATGTTAAAGGAAAAAACATTTCTTTTGATCAGATCTACTCACTGTTAACATAAATCACTCAACTTCGAAGTCACCCTGTATGTCCTAAAAAGGATCTGAATAAAGATTCTAACTCCATCTATGATAGACTAACAGAACCAGTCACTCTACTGTCTCACAGATGGCGTCAGTATCTTTATTCCTTCTTGGACGCTGGTATAACATATATGGTTGGCTATCTTCAGGCTATATTGGTGGTCAGTTAACTGGACGTCTCATATCGTCATAACCTGTAAAGTTGCACGTGAAGCGAGGAGAAGAGGACAACGCCTACATTTGCCATTTGCACGTGCCAAACAAGATACGTAGATTTGCTTAGCTTTTGTATAAAGGCTCACAGCAATAGCGACGCTTCTCTTATTTTCACTACCTTCCTCTTCAAGGGGCGTGCATCTTATACATCTACGACCCCCTTTCAACGCTTAGCTGACGACAGCAATCTACATGAAGGCATTCTGAGTGACTAGCCGGCAATTTAGCTCTTTTCTACCGCTATGTCGACTGTCTGATGCCTCAGAGCTCTCCTCAATGATGTCGCTACGCGATGGCCCTGCCAGACAGACCCGCCTGACTTCGGCCTCCCATCTTAACCATGTCAAACTTCGCACTTCGACTGCCCCTTGGTCCTTAGGGTATCGAGATTGTGGACCAATCTACCTGATGTGACTTTTACCAATTCCACTAACCTTAGGCACAGTTTCTTTAAGCTCGCAGTGCCCTGGTATTTAGTCTTATGTCTACACGACAGCTTCGGTATAAAAAATGTTAACTTTACCTCCAGAAAGTTGCACCGATTTCGAGCACGGTCGATACTTATATGCGGAATAAATATCCACGTAAAAAGTTTTCTTCGAAAGAATATAAATTTATTCCCGGAGCCAACTATTGAAATAAAATCAAGTCGGAACGCCATTTGACATTCGGTTATCAAATATCTTGCTCGCGAGCAGCGTTTTCTCAAATTTGAATTGAAAGGTGGCTATCGCGCGAACATCATCGCCTTTTAATGCACTTCTTGTGGTATTTTTGCGAAAATCCGAAATTTATTTCAGTCGCGGTTATAATACAAAGCGACGGCGATACGTCAGAAAGAAATCAGAGCCCGATATGCGCCAATCTTGCAGAAAACCAGAGGCGTAGTTAGAGGAACTCTAAGACACATACAGGGTGTTCCACGTAAAACTGCAGCGAAGAGTGACAGAAAAAGGTAAACACTTTGAGCATTTTGAGCAATTACAAAACGGATTCTCAATAAGCTGTACGAAATTTAACATTTAACTGACACCGTAAATGTGCGAAAACTGGATGCTTCTTTATCACCAAACAATACACGCAGCCGCCACAAAACCTGACCATTTTATCACTTGTTGTGAAATGTAAAAAATTCTTGAATTCTAATGTGTTTACCTTTTTTTGTGACTGAGCGTAGTTGTGAAAATTTGGGTTATAGTATAAATCAGAGTTCCCCAAACTTTTTTGTGCCGTAGACCCCTTGCCATGTTTTTCTGTGTTGGGTAGACCCCCTACTTACCTGATATTGATTTCCTGTAAATTTCTAACTGTAGTGAAGTTTAGTGTTGAAAACTTAAAGTAAAAACACATGTTAATTTATACATTTATTAATTGAATTTAAATTAAAACTACTCAAAATAAAATTTTGTATGTGTTTATATGTCACTTAGTATATTTAACGTGGTTACACGTATTTTCTTACATCTTCACGGCAAACATAACCTAGTTTTCATTGAAACAGCATCTGTACATCAACGCAATTTTCGCAATTTCTCTCCATTTTAACGGGTTGATTCAACTCTACTTTCATTATCCAATTTCCATTCCCCATATCCTAACCTCATTATTCCAAATTTTCCCTCGTTCTCATTTTCTAGAGCGAATGTTCGCGGTATATCTGTACGACGATCGGTATCGGTCTAAAAGATCTTGTTTCCTTTAACCGCTCCTACCAATGGCGGCCCCTTGTTCCGATGCTAATCCCATATTTGCAGACGCAATCTACATAATACTCGTTATGTAGGCATTCTTCGTTTTCTCGTTAAACTCATACTTTGAACGACGGAGAAAAAGGATGACGGAGATACGGTTCCTTTTGTGCGATCGTCAGCCAACTGTTGTGGACTTGCTATATCAAACTTCTGTGAGATCTTTACTATTTTTTTTTGCTTGTAATTTTTAATTTCGCCACACTTCGTTAACTAACTTTTGTACATTTTGTACTTTCGTACTTGTATGAGATTTTTTAAAACTTTCAAACAATTTTTGTTATAACTTGGATTTGTCTATATGAAACGACATTTAAACATTAAACTTTGGCTAATGGAATCAATGGTAACACAAATGTTAACTTGCTTTACTATGCTTACAATACGTCTACTCGCTATAGTATCCAAACGAAACAATACACTGATAGAGGAAATTTAGACAAGTGAACACCGCGCGGCAATTCCCCTACTCGGTTCTAAAGCGAGTAGGGGAATTACCGCGCGCTGTTCACTAAACGTATGCATTATTTGCGGTAATCCCCGAAAATGCGTTTCGTTTTCAAGCAAAGACAATGTGGGGGTTGCCATTCGTGTAAAAAAAGTAAATAACTACCGATGACGTAATCATCATCTAGACTCCCCTACCCCCCATGTCATCCAAAATAAGCAAAGCAAAGCCCCCCCATAGTGCTCACGTAATAGTTGAACGGCCTCTTATACTGTATTGTCTCGATAGGTTTTATACCTCAGATAGAGGTTAGTTGCTAAGCTTTCGTTGGTTGTCCTGACCTGAGTACAAGCCTAGACGTTGCTGATGAGTTGCCAAAAAGCACAGAACGTCTGTCCATGGTTGATTGTCTGTGGTCGGATGGACAAAACTAGTATGTTAATATGGATGACTTTGTTTCAATCAAAAGCAAGTCCTTGTTGAATCGACTCAAAATTGATGATCTATCTCCATAAATTAAGCAAAAAATAGTATAAATCGTATATATGTCATTTATGAAAAAAATTTGATAGTATAAAACATAAAACTAATCTAAATAACAGCCATTATGAGAGTCAATGCAACTTCCTGGTACAATAGTATGAACAATAAAATAATTTCAAGTTCAGCTGCAGCATAATTCAATGATCGAAATCTCTTGGTAAGCAAATGTCAGCAGTTTGGGAGTGGTAGAGTCCGGAGATAGCAGCTTCTAACCCATCCCTCCCAGTTTCTGAATCCCAGATCTCTTTCTACTTTTCTGGCACATGCCGAGTCATCAGTTATGTCTTCATTCACCAAATCTGAAAAAATCAATCCGAAGTACGAAGGTCAAGGTCAGATCCGTACCAACTTTGAACAAGATGTCCAATTGTGACCTTGGATTTGACGTTGAACCTCATCTTCAAGGTCAACTTTTGCTTCTTAAATGGAATGCATCTCTTCTAAAATCGAAGAGAGAAAATTCTACGCCTGGATATGTTTTAAAATCTAAGATCAATGTCACTTTTTAAGGTCAGTTGAAGGTCAAATATGTGAAGCTGAGGAAAATTCCTAGAAGCTTAGCAGGATTGTTGATGCAACATTATTCTTTACTAACATTTAACAGGGATTTCGGTGGTGAAGATTCAACCTTGAACATCATCGTCAAAGTCATTTCCTGGTCAACTTTTTATTTTTAAGTGTGAATCTCTCTTTTTTTTAACAGCGTCAGTGGAAAATAGATACTAGAGGTCTGGGACTAATTTTCTATATCCAGAATTTCTAATCTAGCAAATTAGGTCCATTTCTATTTATTTTATATACAGGGTGTCCGCAAAGTTGGGGTTTTCCTTTTCAGAAACAACTACCCTTGAAATAATTGCACACTTTGATGCCGATCAGTACTCCTTCGTTTACTGCGCATCTTTACATGTTCGTGCTTGTTGATTTCGTACTGCTACTAATTTTGGATTCGTGAACTGGACTGTTGATCGCTTGTGATTTGGATTTGGACTGTTTAATTGCTCTTCAAAACAACATTTGCTTTCCTTAGACCATCTTTGATAGTGTGATTGTGCAGTGCCGCTATGTCCGTGTACACCGTACAAGAATATGCTAACATGCAGCTCATTTATGGGGAATGCAGATGCAACGCTAGTGCTGCAGCGAGACTTTACTGTGAGAGGTACCCGAATGCAGCTCGTCATCCAGATCATCGAGTGTCCACAAATGTGCACCGCTTACTGTTCTCAGAGGGCCAACTACCAAACCAATCACACGGTGAGGGAAGATCTTTCCTTCCTTACGAAGACGTGGTGCTAGGAGCTGTCGAAGAAGACCCGAGTACTTCAGTGCATGCAATAGAACGAAAAACAGGTGTGCCCAAAAGTACAGCCCATAGAATCTTGCAAAAAAACGTGCTCCATCCATACCACGTACAGCGTGTTCAAACTCTTCTGCCCCGGGATTATGAGCCTCGAGTTGCTTTTTGTCGCACAATGTTAGAAAGACACAGGGAAGATCCACGGTTCTTTGAAAAAAAATTATGGTCAGATGAGACCACATTTAAGAAAGATGGGTACATGAACCTGCATAACTTACACGAGTGGCACGTAGTAAACCCACATTTGATGAGAGAAGATACATCTCAATATCGCTTCAAGATAAACCATTGGACAGGAATTTTAAATGGTAAAATAATCGGTCCGTTTGAGTTCCCAGAGACTTTGACTGCTGAGGTTTATTTAGGTTTTTTGCAAAATCAGTTAGAAAATTTATTGGATGACGTGCCACTGAGTATTTATAGGGATATGTGGTTTCAGCATGATGGCTGCCCAGCGCACTATGCACTCTCAGTGAGAGAGTATCTCGATCAAAATCCGTTAGATTTTTTTTACTGGGGAACTGTAAAAGAAAAAGTGTATTTCAAGCCGATTCAAAATGTAGCTGAGCTACGGCAAAGACTATTGGAAGCAGCTGAGTTTGTTAATAACCGTGGATTCGCTCGTTTAATAACCCGATCTTTTTTAAGAAGACGTCGAGCGTGTATTGCGGCTGAAGGAAAACAGTTTGAGCATTTGCTGTAAAGGTAAATCATCATCAGCAGGATTTTGACGCCCACTGTTGTGCAAACAGTTATCCTTAAGGGTCCTTGTGCGTTTTCATAATCGCTGTTTAATTAGGAAATTTTGAAAAATTTTCATCAGTTTTTCTTCAAATAAAAATTGTGCATAAGTTAACGAGTAATCTTCTAAGTGTTATACCATTTTGGAATCGTTATTAAATGCTCCAACTTTTAAGGTTACTTGCCAAACTCTCGTAGTACATTTTTTTCCAGTACAGCCAGTTAAAGTTGAGCAAAGTTTTACTTTGGAATACTTGGTTGGGAAATAAGTGGCAATTTTTCCTGAACGAGAAAAGTTGTCAGTAAGGTTGAAACTTGAAGATGCATTATTCATCATTACATTGTAAAAATAAAATCCAAAAAAAAGTTAGTATTTGTAGTAACAGGAGTTGACAGACTGCCGTAGGGTGTGAAATTTCTATATTTTTTTCAAAGACCTATAATTTTCAAAACACATACATAAAATTTTTTTAAATATTTTTCTGATAGCTGTTATGACTTTGCCTATCACCCGGTTTCGGCTTGACGTCGACTTCTGGGACACCCTGTATATTCTAGTAGCATATTTGAGAATGAAAATACATACCTTCTAGACAGATTGATGATGTGAATTTTAGGTAGACGAAAAATCGAAAGTTTTCGCAGTCCCAGAGGGCCAGTAATGAAAATTTGATGATTAATAAAGGGTTATCAAGATGCATGTTGATTTAATTGCGGAAAACACAGAAACCCAGGAAAACATTTTTTATTCATATATTTACATGGGGTCTGATTTATTATACTATGGAATTCACGTAGCTTACAAACTTTTTGTTTATAAAAACAGTAAAGTATTTGCATGGGTAGTAAAGCTCTAATAACAAATATCACAATAAAGAGTCACGATTTGAGGACAAAACTGCTTCCGAAATCAAGCATTGGAAAAATGCCAACGGAGACTTGAAACAAACTAGTGAAAAGTTGTGCCGTATCGTCAGTCGTTCTTACAATTGTAGGACGCCTTTATGGCCTCCTTGATTTTCGTAGTTTTTCCGCTCCTTCAGAAAGACTTACTATTTGTAACATAACCTCAAAATAGAGCGCTGAGCTGACACGGAACAGCATAAAACTATGAAAATCAAGTAGGCACTCAAATTCATGAAGGTAAAAAATGTTTTGATCTCAACTATCTCGATCAAATGAAGAAAAGAGACTTGAAAGATGACGTTTTCTGCGGTGACGGTGCCGGGATGCATGCACTAGCAATCGTTGAAGGATACGTGCGACCATAGCAGCTCCTCGTCCAGCCATCCCACGCTTTGAAGCCCACTTCTGAGTGAACCTTCTGCGCACATGCTGCGTCGTCTGTGATGTTGTCGTTTAGTAGATCTACAAAGCAGAATGATATTCATGCAAAAGCTATTGCTTGAGATTAGCGAATGTGATGAGTTAGATTCGAAGAGATTGAGTCATTGAAAAACGACATGCTCGCTTGTCACTTTGGGGGTTTGGATGTCCTTTTGGGAGCGGGAATGCCTCCCCTAGGTGGTTTTGAACTTTGCGCGATCTCAGCCTGTTACAGGATCGTTCAGACCATTAATGCATAGGATTGTGAAAAAGCAAAAAGGTTTTAGCTTGATGTTGTATTGTCTCCCAAATAGCTGTCAATTTAATTTTGTGACTTGATTTAAACATTGTGAACTTAGTGGTTGTTTAGAAGTTATTTGTAATACTATAAATTCCGAGTTGTTGCCCGCTAAATCGCGGAAAATTTACAAAGCCGCGTATTCAAGATTCATGAAATGGAAGATGAAAAAAACATGCAGTTCCTTGTCGGCTTATTTTTCGGAATTGGCACAACAACAAAAGCCATCAACAGTGTGGTCGAATTATTCAGTGATTAAAAGTATGTTACGAACCAATAATAATGTTTCAAAAAATTTCAAACTATTTACATTTCTGAAACAAAATGGGAAAGGTTACAAGCCCAAGAAAGCTGCGATTTTTACGAGTACTCAAATTAGTGATTTTTTAAATAATGCTCCCAATGAAGTTTATTTAATGGACAAGGTTGTTGTATTTGGGATTGCAGGAGCTTGTCGAATTTGTGAAATCAGCCAGGTAACATTAGATGATATTGAAGATTCGGGAACGTTATTAATTGTGAAACTTAAGGAAACAAAGAATGATGTAAACAGGAGATTTGTAGTTACTGGAAAATATATTAATTTTACCGAATCGTCCAGCAGCATCAAAGGATCGCCGCCTGTTTTATGCATATCACCATGGAAAATGTATTAATCAGGTTGTGGGTAAAAAACAGTTTTATAAGTTTCCCGAAACAGTGACTAAGTTTTTTCAACCCGAACATGCTAACTCATATACAGGTCATTCATTTCGAAGATCGTCTGATACACTTTTAGTTGATTCTGGGGGAGGCTCGATGACACTAAATAAACAAGGGTATGTTGATGAATCGGTAGCACACAGCACAGAAATAGCTATTAAAATGTCGAGAACGTGTGGTAGTGCTGAAATAACACCGGATTTTCGACCAAGTACATCAACGAGAGTTTTGATGGCAGAAAAACATAAAGGGTTGTCCAATAGGGACGCAGGAAAGTAAACGTCAATTTGACATAGACGCCATCTTTGTTTTCTGTCACCGACATGCCATTTTGTTAGTTGAATGTTTACCATTGATCGCTATGGAGTCGTATTCGATTGAAGACCGCATTAAAGTTATTCAAGAGTACTACAAAAATGGTTCAAAAATAAAAAACACATTTCGCGCGCTTCGTGAACATTTCGGTCGCAACAATCGCCCAAACGAAACAACCATCGGTCGTCTGATACGTAAATTCGAGGCAACAGGTTCTGTGGCAAATCTGGCCGGCCAAGGAGCGTTCGCACACAGGAAAATATTGCTGTTGTGAAGGATTTGAATGTACACGCCTACAAGATCCAATTGACGCAAGAGCTGCGTCGGGTCGACCATTTTTTGCGCCGAACGTTCTCAGATTGGCTCCTTGAACACCGCCAAATTGATGCCAATTTCTCATCAAAAATAATGTTCAGCGACGAAGCGCATTTCACTTTGGATGGGACGGTAAACAAGCAAAACTGCCGCATCTGGGCGAACGAAAATCCCCGTGAGTATCAAGAGCAGCCGATGCATCCTCAAAAAGTGACTGTGTGGTGTGCATTGTGGTCAAAAGGCATCATCGAACCTTACTTTTTCGAAAATGCGGCCGGGGACGCCGTTACCGTCAATTCTGAGCGATATCACGTGATGATAGAGGACTATTTTTTGCCGCAACTTGAAGGAATGGATATGGACGATGTTTATTTCCAACAAGACGGTGCAACATGCCACACAACCAACGTCAATATCCATCGATTGCAGTCCTTCTTCGGTGATCGCGTGATTTCGCGCAGAGGAAATGTGCCATGGCCACCAAGATCGTGCGATTTGACTCCCTTGGACTTCTTTTTATGGGGATATTTGAAAAGCAAAGTCTACGTCAACAAACCAGCCACCCTCCAAGAACTCAAAAACAACATCATTGCCGAGATAAATGCCATAGAACCGACCATGTTGCAAAATGTCATTGAAAATTTCGACCATCGCGTGGAAGTCTGTAAATCCAGTCGTGGTGAACATTTGAGCGATATTATGTTTCATACATAAATGGTATAAATGTACCTTCAAAATAAAGTACCCAACTTGATTTGAATATCAATCTTTCTTGTTTTAATATGCGTTTACTTTCCTGCGTCCGATTTGGACAACCCCATATAATTTCAACACAAGAAAATTTGACTGTTGTACCGAATAGTTTAAGGAACGTGACATTCATGCAATGCCCATTTAATAATTGTACTTTTGATATAAAGGAAATGTAACTTTATTGCATAATAAAATATTTACCTTTGCTTATGTCTTTATACAATATCCGGAAATAAAAGTAATTTCCTAAAAAGTGACATTTTGTGACCTGTCAACAGAGATAAAATGTCAAACTTTTTCCGGTCACAGAAAAAAGAAACAAAATGTCACCAAGGTGACAAAACAAAATATATTGTCGATTGTACTTGAAGAAAACCTCAGTCGTGATGGAAACGTCAAACAATAGACAGAAATTTAAATAAATATTTGGTTTTCATTTTGCCAGACAATAGAGTCACCTTGTTGCACCTTATTGTTTCTCTTTTAAGCTATAGTCAACGCCAAACAAAGTGGCGTGCACGTCATCAAGGTGGGGGTGTTGAAAAATTTACATTGTTGCCAAACTTTTTGTAAAATAATAAAATTTATTATTTACATATCTAGGTTTATAAGCAATATTAACCTCAAATGAGAACAAAAATAATAGTATAATAAAATTATAGATCTGTACTTGCATAATCATTAAGTATGACAATTATTGATCAGATGACACTATGAAACTACCATATTTAATTGATAGCTTAAAGGTACTGAATAAAAATCCAAATGGGGTCCTCCAAATTTTATGCATGGTATTTATTTTACAGAATTCATACAGAAAAATGCATTCTAAAATTAGGTAAGCTACTGGTGTAAGCTTTTTCTGTACAATAAAGTTAGTCGGAGTTTCTTTCTTCAGCGCTGTCTGAATCTGAATCTTCATCACTCTCAAAGTTGATTATTAAAGGTTCGATGTCTGGTCGATCAAAAATTCGTTCTCTTTCATACCATTTAAAAATTTCTTGCTCAGTATGTCGAACACTATTTTTCCACATGTCTGGGGTAACCGTTTGTAGAGCCTCGTTCCACATATCCAAACAGTCTTTTTCACTGTTACCATCTCTACCAATATGTCTGTTATAGTAACCTTTTGCTATGCCCCAAATTAACTCAATAGGGTTAAATATACAATGGTAAGGAGGCAGACGAAGAACTTTGTGCCCATGTTGTTCCGCCAATTCATCAATCACGTATATTTTAGGTGGTTTGTTTCTAAAAAAGCAGTTATTTTAAGAATAGGAATAAACAAAAGAAATATAAACTGTCGACCAAAATATATATAATTAAGAAGCATTATGTACCGAGCAACAATACTCAATAGCTCTGTTTTAAACATTGTGTTTAAAAATGGTATGTTTTGATTTGTCAACCAGTCTTGGATATTTTTTTTTGTCCATGCATTGTTGGGCACTTTGTTCAATATCATGCTGTGATAAGGGGCGTTATCCAGTATAATCATAGATGGACTCTCCAATTTTTCTAATAACTGATGTTGAAACCATTTCAAAAAATTGTCCTGGTTCATCTCTCCATGGTAATCGCTCAATTTTGTTTTCGAAGAAAATATCGCTTCACTACCCTCAATAAACCCATTTTCATTTCCAGCATGTAATATAATGTATCTAAAATATATTAGTTTTAAATTTTATAGTGCAAATTGTGTAAAAGTACATACCTTTTACCATCTGTTTTAATAGCTTTCACGCTTTTTTGGTTTCCATTTTGCCAAGAGCGACCTATGGTCCCATTTTGAAATATCCAAGTTTCATCGAGGAAGACAAACTGGTATAAGGCCTCAACCTTGGCTTGATTGTATTGCCTTAGAAATTCCACCCTTTTCAAAGCTATACTTGGTAGTTCCATGAGCCCTCGTCGCGGATTGTCCTTAAGCCACTTAAATCCAAGATCTCTAAGCAACCGCCTTAAAGACGTGGCACTACCATCAAATAATGCCCTATCTCTTAATCGAGACCATAAAGTTTGTATCGTAACTTGTTCTTCTGAAACCATGTGTAATATGACATTATAATTTAGTTAACAAATTAATGCAAATTTCTGATAAGTTATTATAATAAGATCTTACATTTGTGATACATATTATAGATCACTTCTCGAATGGCACTTGTATCCAATGTCGCTGTGTTGGTTACACGTTTAATATAACTCCGCTTTTTCTTGGGCGATTCTAAATTTGCATCACTTTTCACACCCTCGGAAATACGACTAACTGTCCTTAAACTAATTTTTAAAGCAGCAGCAACACGCTACAAAAAATGAAATAAAATTTCACTAATATTAATATACATTACATATAATTATTAGTAACCTACCTCTTGAACAGCATTTAAAGGCAACAAAGGCCCGTTGTTGTCCCTTTCTTGCTCAAAGTAGTGCATTAACGAGGCCACGAGTTCCTTACACCGACTATTTAACTGTTTGGGCATCTTTATATACCAAAATTGCCTTTATCTACTCGTAAAATGAATAATTTTGTTTTGAAACAAACAGTTGTTGATTTACAGTATGCGGGGCCAAAGGATTTATAAAGATTTGAAATGCCACAAATTGATTCAGTGTCAAAATTAATACAAATGTCAGTTCCCAGTTTAAATAAGTTTCAAGGTGACAATGTGTCAACGCTGCGAAATCGGTTTAGTGCGTTTACATGTCGATAAGTGATTGGAGCGTTTGCAAAACATTTTATTTCGCATAATGCGTCTAAATTTATCAGAAAGCAACTTATGTGATATTTTAATAACAATGTTTATATGACTATTAACCATAATAAGAGAGTAATGACCATTTTACAATTTATATATCACATTAATATGAAACTGCAATAGAGCAATTGTTTGTGATAGAAACCTAGGCATTAGGTCGGGGAATTTTTATCGTGATGACGTGCACGCCACTTTGTTTGGCGTTGACTATAAAAGCTAAGATAAGGTTTAATTGAATCCAGCATGAATCGCTCTTTAAATGGCGTCAAATATTGCCCACAACCGAAAATCACCCAATTATATTCGCAACTAACAAGCTGTCCGTTCTGACATAAGAGCCATTTCTCGCCATGCTGTTTTATTTGGTTATCAATTATGAACGGTACAGTTTCTATTAATGTTATGGCGAAGAATCACTAAGGAAAATGAAAAGAGCATAATAGCGGAATATTTCCTTTTTCAGATATTCGAACCGTAAAAACCGCTTGTTATTGGTTCCTTAAGCTGATGGAAAATGGTGGTATTACGTGATTGCCGATAATGTGATTACGTAGAGCCATTGCTGCTATTATCCAAAGTATTTTGAGGGAAATGTAACATGCAATGAGAAATGATATCCTAGCATGTATCATGCAGTAATTGTGACAGGGCTAAGAAATCTTTATAGCTAATTTATTATTTCAGAAATCATATTTAAATCTACTAAGTGACATATAAATCCGAACACCCAGTTTAAATGGTTTTATTTTAATAAAATTTGTATAAGTACTTAATGAAGCATAATAAGTAAATGATAAAAATGTTTGCACTGCTTTAAAGCCCTTTGACCTTTAATAATGTGTGGATGCACCCTGATGTGCTACGCATTCTCCAACGCGCCTAGGCATGCTTCTGATCAGGTGGTCAATGTCCTCCTGTGGTATCTCATTCCAGGCAACCACCAACTCCTCTCGAAGTGCTTCTAGAGTCTGAGGAGGACGTTGCAAATTGAGCAATCTCCTACCCATCATATCCCACACGTGCTCAATTGGGGATAAGTCGGGAGATCTTGGTGGCCATGGTAACAATGTGACATCATTATGTTGAAAGAAGTCTATTGTGACTCTTGCAACATGTGGTCGGGCATTATCTTGTTGGAAAGTTGGATCTGCCAGGGTGTCAAGATAGGGTAAAAGATGGGGTTCTAGAACTTCGTGGATATAATGTTACCTCTGATGAAGATTAAAGGTGACCTGGAACCATAAGCTATACCACCCCAAACCATAACTCCAACAGTGTGATGAACATGTCTTTCAACAAAAAACTGTGGATTCCTCCTTTCACCACGTCGCCTTCTAATCCTGGCACGACCATCGTGCATGCCTAAACAAAATCGAGACTCGTCACTAAAGACAATACTGTTCCATTCCTGATCCCAGAGTGACCGTTGTCTGCACCACTCAAGGCGATTACGTCGGTGTTCTCGAGTTAAAGGGAGGACCCAGTGTGGCCGGTATGAGAACAAGCCAAAACTTCTCATTCGTCGGTAAACACTTCGCATGCCAATAGGTCTTCCGTGTTCTGCAAACCATTCATTTGCAATGGACCTGGTAGTGGAGAAACGGTCCCTTATGGCCAATAATCTTAGGCGGCGATCTTCACGGTCTGTTGTTCTACGGCGGCGTCCAGTGCCCCTTGCTCTTTGCGTACGGCCTTCTCGAAGCCATGCCTGACAACACCTAACCACAGTATCTACACTTCTTTGTACTCTAACTGCAATTGCCCGAAAAGAAAGTCCAGCTTCCCGAAGTCCCACTATACGGCCCCTATCAAACTCACTAAGTTGACGAAATCGTACAGGTCTCCGTACTCTACGCATCGTAACCGATCCGAAAGGATGTCAAGAACCAAAATCCGCCAACGTTGATTCCTTACTGCGGCTGAAATATTCATTTTTAGAGCGTTAGTGAATTAAAAAAAAAGCAGTATAAAAACCGGAAAGTCCAACTGATAAGGCTGAAAATTTTTTCACTTGTTATTTACAGTAAGATAAAAACACTCACCAACTTTTATTAAAATAAAACCATTTAAACTGGGTGTTCGGATTTATATGTCACTTAGTATCTATCTAGAGAAGTCAGTGTGTCATAAGTGTTGAAACTTTGATTGACATATTATGTCAAGCATTCAAAATACAGGGCGGCCAATATATAACTTGTCAAGATACTATAAATATGCTTGACACCTACCTTCACATTTCATGCGGCATTTGCCTCCAGGGGTTCCAAATTGACACCATTCTTTACTGTTTATCTGAAAAATATAATATGGTAATATAGTCCAACCAAAGAGTAGTTATACCAAGAAAAGACGGACAATGTGAATGAATTAGATACAGATAAGAGATATAACCCAAAACATGGCGACCACAAAACAGCATCTAATGACGTGCGTGTCTTATTTGACCAGAGATAAATGCAGTGTTGCCCTTTTTGATTGAATTCATAATATATCACTTATCGTGGAAGCATTTTTCGTTCCAATTTACTTTTGCTTGGACAATTATTTACACTTTTCGCTAGTATTTTGCGGTGTCAGGTAAGTGTAAGTTATCACACAGCTATTCAACTTTTACGACTCTACGGGGAATATCATACGATTTAGCTTGGCATCATTATTCAAAATTTTAAGTGAAAATCAATATGGATTTACAGAAGGGAAGGCTACATCGGACGCAATAACTAAAATTGTAAATCAATTACATCAAAATATTGATAACAGAATCCCTTCAATCTGCATTTTTATTGATTTAAAGAAAGCTTTCGACACAGTTAATCACAAATTATTATTAGAAGCATTGGAGAGAATTGGTTTCAGAGGAAACGCGTACTCACTGATCGAAAATTATTTGTCAAATCGCCCACAATCTGTGCAGATATCAGGTTCATTTAGTAAAGAAATGTATATTAAGTGTGGTGTCCCACAAGGAACTGTCTTAGGTCCGCTGTTATTCAATATATATTTAAATGATATTTTCCAAATTAATTGTGTTGGCAAAATAACTAGTTTTGCAGATGATACTGCAATATTATATGAAGGCACTGACTGGTCTGATCTGAAAAATGTAATTGAAAATGATTTTATCAAAATTATTCGGTGGTTTAACAGTAGAAAATTAAGCATTAACTACTCTAAAACACATTTTTTACCATTTGGATCTTATGCTAGACATCTGCCAAATTACACAAATTTCTCCTTCAACATTAATGATCAAAAAATGCAAATTAATAGAGTGCTCAACATAAAATACCTTGGAGTGGTCTTGGATCCTCACTTACGATGGGACATCCATGTCAATTATATTTTAAAGAAAGTTAGATTTGTATCCTACAAAATTAAATACCTTGGGAATATATTGATAGAAAAATATCTTCGAACATTATACCATGCACTGATTGAGCCTCATCTCACATATGGTATATTAGCATGGGGAGCTGCATGTTCCTTTACATATCTATAATTTAGATGTTTTTCAAAAAAGTATTCTAAAAATGATATTTAAAGAACCGAAACTTTATCCCACTGAAAAATTATACGCAGATGTTCGAATGTATGATATAAGACAGCTTTATTTCTTACACAGTATCACTCACTACCATAAATTTGTAAACGCCGACCAAAAAATTAAACATAATCATTATACCAGGTACAAAATTCGTGGCATAGTAGTTCCTCAACCGCATAAATCTATAATGCAGCGATCATATCTCTATTTAGCGCCTAAATTTTATGAAATTATACCTAAAGACTTAAAAGATTTACCTTTCGGAAATTGTTTCAAAAGAAATTTAAAAAAGTGGCTACATTCTATATCTAGGACTGAAATTCATAAACTCATAAATACGAACATCAATTAAAAAGATAATCTACTGTAGCTAATTTTTGTCCTTTTTTGTCGTTTGCATTCTACAGTTTCAACTTAAATTATTGGTCCATGTACAGGCGATGCCTTCTATTGGGCCTGTTTTGATTTTATATTTATTTACTCATATTGTTTGTTATCTTTGTACATTGAGTGAATAAATATTATTATTATTATTATTATTATTATCAAAGAGGAACCTTAGGTTGAAATTCAAATTCAAACTCGGCAAGTTTAATGTTTAGCAAAATGCGTAAGTTGCGGCTAGTATTTATCTGTGCGCGATGATGTAACCAAAAATTTGCAGTCCGCTTCCCCGATGTGATACAGAAGAAACCCAAGATGAAGTCTACATACGGATTATAAAGACATTCTGTCAAGTATCTTCACTTGAGATAACTACTCTTTGGCCTAGCTATGACAGGAAACACATTTATTTCATAAAGAATCAGCGTAAGACCACTTGGTTGCGCGTTATGTACAGGGTGAACAATATATGACTGACTGTGAGTCTTACTTAAATAATGAGTCGATTGTTGCAAGGATTCCGAAGATACGACAAGATTTCGGTCGTACTCTGGAAAATATTGAGAGAGTTTGTGAAAGTGTAGTGGAGCGCCCTGAGACGTCTACCAGACACCGTTCTTAAGAACTGGACATTCGTCGCACGTCATTATGCGCTATTTAAAAAAAAATACTTGCATTTGCGGCCATAAAATTCAGTTAATCCAAGAACTGCAGCCTAGTGACAATGAAAACTTTCTGGCCCCTCAAATCCAACAATTTGACCTGCAAAACATATGGTTCCAGCAGGACGCAGCAACTTATCCCAGGGAAACAATGAATTTTTTGCAATATTTCCGGGACGTTTAATTTCTCGATTTGGTGATGTCAACTGGCCACCAAGGTCACCGGATTTAACGGCTTCTGACTTTTTTATGGGGATTTTTGAAAAATAGGCTGTTTGCCAACAAACCAAAAACTGTAGAGCTGCTGAACAACTGACTTTGTTTCCAGTCTAGACTACCTACCTCCTTATGGCAAGTCGGATCACTGTACCTTATTGACCTCACTTCAATTCTATGTACAAACTCCATCACGTAGACATTTCAAAACTGTGAAGCTATTAAACTACAGTGCTCTCAATCGAGCATTGTCTGAAATAAACTGGTCCAACCTGCTTGCACAACGTAGCACTGAAGATATGTGGGATATATTCTCTCGTCGAATCCAACTGGAAGTCACTAGGTATACGACCACAAAGAAGATATTCAGTCACCCAAGAAAGCCTTGGATTAACCATAACCTCTCAAGGATGTTGAGGCATAAAAAAACGTTATGGCAAAGATTCCAAAGAAGTAGACTACAACAGGATTATGTATCTCATCGATCTTTCTCTAACATCCTTTCGAAGAACTTGAAAAACGCCAAGCGCAATTATGAGCAAAATCTTGTATTATCGAAAGATAAGAAGTTGTTTAGATACTTGAGATCCACCCTGAACTCTAAGGTTTCTTCCCCACAAATCCGTGATCCCAATGGCCACCTACATACTGATGCCGAAAAATCTGCCAATCTTCTTGCCGATGCTTTCAGTGAAGACTTTGTGAATGAACCTGATGGTGATGGTACTCTTCCGAACTTATCCAGCCCTCATAGATGCCTAGCGACCATCTGTAGCATAGATTTTCAACCTCAGGACATTGAGAGGCACCTTACTAAACTGAAAACTTGTTCGTCCCCTGGAAAGGATGGGATTACTTCTGCCGTTATGAAGTCCTGTGCCTCAGCTCTCGCATACCCCCTGTGCATTATATTCAACTCCTCGATTCAAAATCACATCCTTCCTTCCTGTTGGCGTACTGCATCTGTGACACCTATATTCAAAAAAGGAGATAAAACATCTGCGAAAAACTACCGTCCTATCAGTCTTGTGCCTATAGCTGCGAAAATAGCCGAAAAGATCGTCCAGGAACAACTTATGACATTTGCGTTCAAGAACAACCTGCTGCCTAGCAACCAACATGGTTTTATTCCTGGTAGATCAATTATCACCAACTACACTGCATTGACAATTGGACCAGATCTTGAGACGCAAATGAACCGGTCGACGTGGTTTTTCTGGATTTTTCCAGAGCTTTCGATCGAGTTCCGCATAAAAGGCTCCTGCACAAGCTTGAACATCTCGGAATCAGGGGAAATTTGTTGTTATGAATTGAAGCTTTTTTGTTAGACAGATCTTTCTCTGTCCGTGTTGGAGACGCCTATTCTTCTAGTCATCGTGTTACTAGTGGAGTTCCACGAGGATCTGTGCTAGGGCCAATACTTTTTCTTCTTTATACAAGCGACCTTCCCACCCGACTTTATTCTATGTGTTCCATCTATGCAGATGATACTAAAGTCTATAACACTGTCATGAACTCATCTGTGCTTCAAGAAGACCTCAAGCTGATCAGAAAGCGGTCAGAACTCTGGCTCCTGCCTTTAAATCTTCGAAATGCTACGTTCTCCACCTGGGAAAGAATAATCCTAACTTAACATATAAGATTGGCAAACATACCTTAGAGACTGTTCTTTATCACACAGGTCTTGGTCTGACAGTTAATGGCCGGCTCACCTGGTCGGAGCACATTCAGAACATAACCTCTAAGGCAAAGCGGTTGCTATATATGATGGAAAGGTCATTTAGCGGTTGCACCGTTAGTACCTCCTCCTTTTTGTACACAACTTTCGTAAGACCCCTACTGGAGTTTGCTGGTCCGGTATGGGATTCAAACCTTGTTCGCGATAGCAGCTTATTAGAGGCCGTTCAGCGTCGTGCTACACGTATGCCATAATGGCACACGTAGGCCAAGTTATGAAGACCGCCTCGAGCTATATAATCTGCCTGCTTTTGCTGATAGAAGAGTACGAGGAGATCTCATCATCACTTTCAGAGCACTGCATAATTTGTTTGGTGTGGACATGTCGCATCTGTTTCGTCTGGCAACGAACAGTCTCACAGGCCATAACTTCAAATTGCAGAAGGAAGCTTTTAGAACCTCTACTCGTCAGCGCTTCATCTCAAACCGTGTCTTCGATGCATGGAACAGTCTTCCATCTTATGTAGTGAACTCGGAATCCGTCAACAGTTTCAAAAACAATTACGATAGACACCGCAGTGCTTAACATATTGTTCCCATTCTGTATATGTCAACTTCAGAAGTGCTAAGATTGTCAAATTGTTATATTTCTTTTGTCTGTACACTATTATCTATTTTTGTGTTTGAGTTTATAGTACTTGTACTCAACTCAAATTTGTTGTTTAATAATAATAATAATAATAATAATAATAATAATAATAACAATATTACGGAAGCGATTGGAAATATTCCTACCGGAACCTACCAGAAAGTGATGTAATCAAAAGGGCTTAGGTTTGTGCGGCTTCTACAGGCGGATATTTGTCTGATATTATTTTTCATACACAATTTCTAAGTTTCTATAAAAGACTAAAATGAAATAAATGGACGTATCTTATTTCATTTCACAAATATTCAAGATACAAACCGGTCAGTTACATATCCGCCACCCTGTATTATGGTTCACATACCTGGAACAGACCTAGACTCTTGCTGCCATTTGCCTTAGTTACTTGTTTTGATGTGTCCTTGCCACTCTCACTCTCGATCAGACAAACCCCTGAAATTTGAAAATACCTATCGTTTTAATCTAACTAAACTTATACCGAGGTTTTCACGTTCATAGGATTCCACTGCCTGGCTGAATCACATGTGTCCCCAACGACTAGACCCATATCGCATTGACGATTGAGAAAAAGCATGAAACAACGCCGTATGCGTTTGGTCATACAGAAACGGAAAGCAAACATATTCAGATCAATCTACCAGTTTTCACGTTCTGGTGGCCACCAAATGAACTACATGTAGGCTCAGCCATAGAAGGCATTAAGTTCATCGGAAACGTCGTCTAAGCTAGTATGCGATTGCGATTCAGTTAGTGAGAACCACAAACCCAATAGCGGAAAGTTACATGCTGAGCCGTGTGTCAAGTTTATGGAGTCTGATGAAAGCTTCAAGGCTGGACTTAGTGCTTTAGAAAGTGTATATGGGGGCCACAATACGAGGGACGTCGAAAACAGACAGTAACGCAGCAAGGCATTCTTGTTGCGATAATTGTCTCTGAAAGTTGTAATAAATTATGGCGCGAAAATGTTCTCGGTTCCATTTTTCTAATGTGAGAACACTGCACGTATCGTTGTGAAACTTAAGTTTACTAAAGAGTGAGGTTAAGATTCAGTACTGATGTTCGATCCGCGCGGCCTACTATGTTTCTATATGCAAAACTTAAAAGACATCCCTCGATACATTGTGGTCGCAGTGACATGGCTAGGAAGCCAACCTCCTTTTGTAATCTGTAGCAAGGATAAAGCTATAAGATCAACTGAGCCTAAAACCTGCAAGGTTTGACCTTTAATTCGGACACTTGACAACCCAAACAACAATAATTTCCAAAAATTGTCAAATCGGCTATTGAACGGCAAAGTATGTTCTTAAATTTCAGTATAGGTTCAGGTTATGTTGTTTTTTCCGTCCTGGGAAATTTTTTTCGTATTATAAGCTACTCAATGTCATAACGACCCTAAAAATGGACAGTTCAATGCTTGACAACTCTGGTAAACATTATTTTCGGAATTGCCAAGTGTTCAAATCAAATTTCAAACCTTCCTCTACACCTCAAGAGTATTTTGGTCTTATTTTATTTGAAAGATATTTTTAACATTTGCTCGTTAAGCTAACAAGAGGCGACCTTTTGTTTTTCGCAGACTGTACAAGTTTACCGACGTTTCGGTCATTGATACTTTGAAGTTTGTAAAGAAAAGTTCACGGAGGTGGCAGAAATACCAATAACCTTTTGCTTCTTCATTTACGGTTTGATTTGATGGAACCTCATTCCGTGCTATGCGTCACGAGAGTCATCGAAAAAATCGCGATGACCAAATAAAAACTTGGAACTTTGATCGACAATAATCAAGGAGCTTTTTAGGTATGAGATTTGAAGCTCCTGACAGCAACTATGAAATCTTGCGGGAGGAGAAACACAAAAGTAAAGAATTCATGATTTCTATAAAAACCGTATTTTACGAATCTCAAATATACTAAGTGACATATAAATCCGAACACCCAGTTTAAATGGTTTTATTTTAATAAAAGTTGGTGAATGTATTTATCTTACTGTAAATAACAAGTGAATAAATTTTCAGCCTTATCAGTTGGACATTCCGGTTCTTATACTGCTTTTTTTTAATTCACCAGCGCTCTAAAAATGAATATTTCAGCCGCAGTAAAGAATCAACGTTGGCGGATTTTGGTTCTTGACATCCTTTACGATCGGTTACGATGCCTAGAGTACGGAGACCTGTACGATTTCGTCAACTTAGTGAGTTTGATAGGGGCCGTATAGTGGGACTTCGGGAAGCTGGACTTTCTTTTCGGGCAATTGCAGTTAGAGTGCAAAGAAGTGTAGACACTGTGGTTAGGTGTTGTCAGGCATGGCTTCGAGAAGTCCGTACGCAAAGAGCAAGGGGCACTGGACGCCGCCGTAGAACAACAGACCGTGAAGATCGCCGCCTAATATTATTGGCCTTAAGGAACCGTTTCTCCACTACCAGGTCCACTGCAAATGAATGGTTTGCAGAACACGGAAGACCTATTGGCATGCGAAGTGTTTACCGACGAATGAGAAGTTTTGGCTTGTTTTCATACCGGCCACACTGGGTCCTCCCTTTAACTCGAGAACACCGACGTAATCGCCTTGAGTGGTGCAGACAACGGTCACTCTGGGATCAGGAATGGAACAGTATTGTCTTTAGTGACGAGTCTCGATTTTATTTAGGCATGCACGATGGTCGTGCCAGGGTTAGAAGGCGACGTGGTGAAAGGAGGAATCCACAGTTTTTTGTTGAAAGACATGTTCATCACACTGTTGGAGTTATGGTTTCGGGTGCTATAGCTTATGGTTCCAGGTCACCTTTAATCTTCATCAGAGGTAACATGAACGCGCAGCGTTATATCCACGAAGTTCTAGAACCCCATCTTTTACCCTAACATAATGATGTCACATTGTTACCATGGCCACCAAGATCTCCCAACTTATCCCCAATTGAGCACGTGTGGGATATGACGGGTAGGAGATTGCTCAGTTTGCAACGTCCTCCTCAGACTCTAGAAGCACTTCGAGAGGAGTTGGTGGTTGCCTGGAATGAGATACCACAGGAGGACATTGAGCTGATCAGAAGCATGCCTAGGCGCGTTGGAGAATGCGTAGCACATCAGGGTGCATCCACACATTATTAAAGGTCGAAGGGCTTTAAAGCAGTGCAATCATTTTGAAATTTTTATCATTTACTTATTATGCTTCATTAAGTACTTATACAAAATTTTATTAAAATAAAACCATTTAAACTGGGTGTTCGGATTTATATGTCACTTAGTATACATTGGAATTCGAAGATACGATTCTAAGGCTTGGTAGCTCTTGAGTTCCAGCTATAATATATTATCACTACGTGATTTGTTTATTTGTAAACGGTTATCTGACTTCTCTATTAATTAATTACTTAATCTCAATTTTACGATGATAAAATGCATAAGATTATCTCTAATTACCCCGCTAATAGTTAATACACTATGAGTAGCTGATGTGAAAATCAACAGCACTTATCACTTTTCATAAGAAGACAATCATTCCTGGTAGGTCTAAAAGCATATATTTTTTACTCGTCGATGTAAACACAACATTGAACCTCCGATGTCAAGTGCGACTGATACCAGAGTAATTTTTTCCATTATTACACTATTACATAAATGATAACAAGATCAGAGGTTCATATTTCCGGAATGTGCGCGAAATTTTGCAACGTATTATTGAACTGGGATAGAAGCAGATATGAGGATCAATTTATGTTCGTAGTTCGTAGGAGGTAATACCTATGGTTGCATTTGCAGAGAGAATATATAACCCTACTTAAGAGGGAACTCACAAAACTATTTGATTTGGAAATGTTTTAATGATGTGGCGGACCATGGAAATGTCTCCCAAAAATTATATTGCTAGAAAACACTTCCTTTCCTGAACGATCAATTCAATCCGCCGATCCGCCTATTTGCATCCAGTACGGTCGGTACGACCGCTCCTTAATCCTATCTATACTAACCTTAGGCAGCAATATCGTTAATAACAATAAGAGGTATTTTTTTCACCTAAGCAATGACCGGAATGGAAAATAATTTCTTGTCATTTCTGACATTGACAAGTTTTGTTAGTAAAGTTAATAAAAATATGACTTATTTAACTAAAACCAAGAGGATAGAAATTCTAATATTGATTAAAATAGCGTATTTGATATTCCAAACGAGAGAAAAATTAAAAAAAAAATGATAAAACCTAGTCAATTTAAACTTCAAAACAAGATAAAATTAAATGTTCAAATTGCCGTCCATATACTTCTTGGCAATAAGCTAGATATTGCGGAAATGCGTTTATCATATTTTGATTCTTCTGCATTCATTTTCTATTCCTTTCTTAGTTCCTCCAAATCAAATGGTTTGGTTTTGTATACTACATTTTTTAAGCGCCTCACAGAAAATAATCGAGGGGTGTGAGGTCAGGAGATCAAGGTGGCCATTGAATCGATCCTCTTCTACCTGCCCATCTTCCAAAAAATGTTCGACCAAAAAATTCGCTAATATATTGCGGAGCGTGCACCATCGTGTTGAAGACATATTCTATCGTTGGGCACTCTATTATTTACTAAATGAAAGCAATATATTTTTATTGTTTGTGATAATAAAAGCTACTTACAAGGATTGGGAAGTATTTGCGCCAAAGCTGCGATAACGTGATTCCTCAAAAGATGCAAATATCTTTCAGCGTTTAAATTTTCTTCCATGAAAAATCGATCGATTATCTTTTGACTCATTTTTTGTGGATATACTGTATGATGTTCCCGTACCCAATGAGGATTTTACCTAGCCCAGTAGAGGCGATTATGAGTTCCATTTAAAGAAAAACTTGACTTATCCGAAAACATTATTTTGTACAAAAAAATATTACACATGTCCATCATGGTTGTGGAATTGTAAACGCCTGTCCACATCAGCTCTTGACCAAGGTGTAAGTTTGGAATTCTTCCGTCTTTAAAATGCATTCCACAGACACGTGAAATGTATTGTTATCCTCACCAAGTGTTCTAGTAGAAAGCTGGGGGTTTTCCGCTATGCTCACTAAAATATTCTAAGCCTTATTTTCATCAGCGGCTGTTTTGGGACGATTTCATCAAAACTTTTCCAACAACAGACCTGGTTATTGGATTCCGGTTGGGATATTTGTCATTAAAAATATCGCAAACTTCTTGCTGTGCGCGTCGATGAGCGCCATAAACCAGAACCATTAGAATTTCCATTCTTGCGGTTTAGGTTCAATGACTCATTCTCAATAACTCTACTAATAAAACTCAATGAACTTTTGAACGTCAGAAACGACAGGAAATTAATTTCGATACAGGTCATTGCTTTGACGAAAAAAATATCTTTTATTGTTTAAAGATTCATGTTTGACCGCGAATATTTCGGAAGCTTTGAGGTCTAAGTCAAAGTATGTTTAATAAAAAGTGTTGATAATTTATCGCAGAATACAAATATCGAATAAAATTTATAGCATTACATAAGAAAAACAAAAGTTGCTATGTTTCTGAAAAACTGTAGATTGGAAACTTCGCGGATATCATCGACGGATCCGCTGTGGTTTCAAACCTAAACCTACCAATTTAAAAAAAAAAATAGATGACGGAATCAACCTAAATGTGCTAACAATCATATTCGATTTGCTAACTGAACATATACTAAGTGACATATAAATCCGAACACCCAATTTAAATAGTTTTATTTTAATAAAATTTTGTATAAGTACTTAATGAAGCATAATAAGTAAATGATAAAAATTTCAAAATGATTACACTGCTTTAAAGCCCTTTGACCTTTAATAATGTGTGGATGCACCCTGATGTGCTACGCATTCTCCAACGCGCCTAGGCATGCTTCTGATCAGGTGGTCAATGTCCTCCTGTGGTATCTCATTCCAGGCAACCACCAACTCCTCTCGAAGTGCTTCTAGAGTCTGAGGAGGACGTTGCAAATTGAGCAATCTCCTACCCATCATATCCCACATGTGCTCAATTGGGGATAAGTCGGGAGATCTTGGTGGCCATGGTAACAATGTGACATCATTATGTTGGAAGAAGTCTATTGTGACTCTTGCAACATGTGGTCGGGCATTATCTTGTTGAAAAGTTGGATCTGCCAGGGTGTCAAGACAGGGTAAAATATGGGGTTCTAGAACTTCGTGGATATAACGCTGCGCGTTCATGTTACCTCTGATGAAGATTAAAGGTGACCTGGAACCATAAGCTATAGCACCCCAAACCATAACTCCAACAGTGTGATGAACATGTCTTTCAACAAAAAGCTGTGGATTCCTCCTTTCACCACATCGCCTTCTAACCCTGGCACGACGATCGTGCATGCCTAAACAAAATCGAGACTCGTCACTAAAGACAATACTGTTACATTCCTGATCCCAGAGTGACCGTTGTCTGCACCACTCAAGGTGATTACGTCGGTGTTCTCGAGTTAAAGGGAGGACCCAGTGTGGCCGGTATGAAAACAAGCCAAAACTTCTCATTCGTCGGTAAACACTTCGCATGCCAATAGGTCTTCCGTGTTCTGCAAACCATTCATTTGCAATGGACCTGGTAGTGGAGAAACGGTCCCTTAAGGCCAATAATCTTAGGCGGCGATCTTCACGGTCTGTTGTTCTACGGCGGCGTCCAGTGCCCCTTGCTCTTTGCGTACGGCCTTCTCGAAGCCATGCCTGACAACACCTAACCACAGTGTCTACACTTCTTTGCACTCTAACTGCAATTGCCCGAAAAGAAAGTCCAGCTTCCCGAAGTCCCACTATACGGCCCCTATCAAATTCACTATGTTGACGAAATCGTACAGGTCTCCGTACTCTAGGCATCGTAACCGATCGTAAAGGATGTCAAGAACCAAAATCCGCCAACGTTGATTCTTTACTGCGGCTGAAATATTCATTTTTAGAGCGTTAGTGAATTAAAAAAAAGCAGTATAAAAACCGGAATGTCCAACTGATAAAGCTGAAAATTTTTTCACTTGTTATTTACAGTAAGATAAATACATTCACCAACTTTTATTAAAATAAAACCATTTAAACTGGGTGTTCGGATTTATATGTCACTTAGTATATAACTTTCATCATCAACTATGTAATTGCATCATCAACCTTCCCCAGCTGTTGGAAAAAAGCAAATGTTCTCACCCTAGCTAAAATAAGTAACCCTACAGATATTTCGCATCTGAGGCCGATAAATATACTACCAGCATTTTCCAAGTTATTAGAACTAGCCATCAGGTATCTGGCTACGTCTTCTCTAATGGTATCATTCCTGAAATCCAAGAAATTTAGCATGCTTAGTGTTACTTGATTATACAAAGACTTTTGATAATCTGGAACCATCTATTCTTGTGTAAAAGCTGATATACTTTGGTTTTTCGGAATCTGCAATTCATTTTGTATTAAGTTATTTCACTGACAGGAGTCAGATGGTTGTGATTGGGTCAAGTATCTCGGAGGAGATACCAGTTAAACTAGGGGTACCACAGGGATCCATTCTGGGACCATTAATGTTCTCAATTTACATTTCCGACTTCGACGCGTACGTTGGACACTGCAGTATTCATCACTATGCTGACGACACTCAATTGTACTTTGGCTTTGATATTAAAGATTTAAAAAATGCCGAACATTTGATTAATAATGATCTTATAAATTTATCTAACGAATCTTGTGTCCATAATCTCAAAATTAACCCGTTAAAATCATCCGCGGTTATATTTGGACCAAAAATCAAAAAAAGTCAGGCAAAACCACTACTATCATTGAGCATTTTTTGATCAACCAATTCCTATAAAAAATGAGTGCACGAATTTAGGACTCTGGATTGATTCTGATTTGAGGTTTGAAAAACACGTTAGTCAACTGTGCCGAACATTATTCGGTGTCTTGCAGCAATTATTTCCTCATAGGAAAAGTATGAATACTGGTCTCAAGCTGAAGTTGTGCAAAACCTTAATATGGTCTAGAATTCACTACTGTGACTGTATTTATCGTGAGCTGGGTGTTCAAAAAATAGAAGAGCTACAAAAAAATGCGCGTATTGACCTTGACCCATAAGGTAATTACACCACAAGCCCCTCCATATCTATCAACGAAATTTATCAGATACTCAGATGTTAATCAACTGAACACAAAGAATAAGCATATCCCGAGACAATCAACATCTCTATTTAAAAGGCCGTACGTATATACTGCTATCAAGCTATACAACGCGTTGCCTACCGAGTTCACTCACTACTCTATAAAGAATTTCAAAAAAAGATTGGAGCATTTTATCTCTGATTTCATTGCCCAGTAAGTAGAGCATGGCCATGTATAGGGACTCACAGGTTTTTTTAAAAATTTTTTTTTTCATTGGGATTAGAAAATTTACATAAATATTTGTTGGGTTAAGTTGAAAAACGCTTTTTAGCGACACTTCGCTTGTTTATACTTTGTATAAATAAATCCGGATTATTATTATTATTATTCGTTAGATATTCGATGCGTTCCAAATTTTTGTTATATAAGCCGTTTGTCACATCCTCAATGCCAGTTCTTTTTATCTCTCCAGGAATCTGAGAGTGATAAAATTTATTATTCCTTTCTTCCTTTGCTATCCTTATTTCGCCTTTGTGGAGTCCATTAAAAAAACTATCACTGGCAATCTTTCCTGCGTCATCCTTTGCATATGCCCATACCAAGATAGGTGTTTCCTACTTTAATTAGTTGACGAAAAAACTATGTACCTCAAACACTTACAATTTCCAACGAGCGACCTGCTGAACCCCTTCTTCAAAAGCTCCTGCGTCAACCCGCACTTCGTGTACACTTTCCCCTCCGCTAAAGCTGCACACAATACCGCAAAACACAACGCAATCCCTCCTCTCATATCCTCGATTGACACAACCACTCGCACAAGTTACATGTACTTATCTCCTTACGCTTATTTCTAATCACCTTCGAATGTCTTTATCGAGCTTTTATCATCTGCTGGTGCACTGGTGCTTCCAGCGTGGTATGCGAGGAGTGTTTAAACATTTGAATATTTGTTGTTTTCCACATCAGCGGCGGCGCTGACACGGCATAATTTCAGCATGTCTGGCGTGGTGTAGATTTTGAAAGCCAGACTAGCTGTAAAATTAAAGTAACAAAGTTATAGCCCTTTGGAAGTTTGAGTACCGCCCTGTCTCAATAATAATATTATGTGCTCGTGTTTGGCAACAACGGATATAATCCGCCTTATCGGTTCATCGCATCGGAAACAAAAATGCGAAAGAATTTGGAACGATGTTTTTACAATTATTTTATTCAGTTTAGTTATACATACAGTCAGTGTCAGTCGAAGGGTTTATCTCTGGTCAGTCGGTAACGCGTGTGAATAGTGTCTGTTGCGTGGCTCAAACGAAATAAAAAATGGCACATGTTTATGCGGATCGGTTTCCCAATCGAGTGCAACCAACCCCTCGTGCCTTTGTTAATGTAGTACAACGGGCTCGTGAATCAGGTGACTTAAGACCTCACAGGGGACCTCACGATCAAATACAGGTCCGCACTGAAATACTTGTCGGGAGGATACTTTATAAAACAAGGTAAAATTTTTTTTTATTTTTTTTTTATTTTTACACACATATTTTGGTTTATCTTCCTTCTACAATCATTATCTGAAAATTAATGACTCAACTTCAAAGTCACCCTGTATATTTCATAAATGATTCCACATTGCGCAATTGAGAAATGATACCAGGTACGTTTAGAAAGTATTAGGGCAAAGTTATGCAACACAAATATTTATATTCAAGTTGACGAAACAACAGATGCATGTGGTCGTTATGTTGCCAATATACTTGTTGGTATTTTAAACGAGTCCACCCCTCCGGTGTCTTATTTAATTAATTCTGCAGCCTTAGAAAAAACCAATCACTCGACCGTTGCACGTTTTATTAACGATAGTTTAACCCTACTGTATGCACCAAATCCAGTTAAATCAGATAACGTATAATTGATGCTTTCTGATGCGGCGCTTATATGATCAAGGCTGGAAAAGCTTTACTGGTATTTTACCCGGAATTAATACATTTCACCTGTATGGCTCATGCATTGAATATATTAGCCGAATTAGTATGTGCAGAATATCCTTCTGTTAATAATTTAATTAATAACGGAAAAAAGGTCTTTTTAAAAGCTCCCTTAAGGGTAGAATTTTACAAAGAAATGGCTCCTGAGCCTGTTATTACAAGATGGGGTACATGGCTCAATGCTGCCTTGTTTTATGCAGATAATTTCGTGAGAGTCAAAGAAATTTTTATATTCTATAGCACTTAGGTCTTGTAAGGAATCGATACTATAGTCAAACATTTTAGAAGACCTTTAGAGCCTTTATTAAAGCTCATTTTTTCATGTTAGCAAAGCTGGAAACTACCCAGTTGTTCATTAAACGACTCTTTCAGAATCATAGTAAAGGTGATTGAAGAACTAAGTCTTATTCCTGGAGAAATTGGTAAACAAAATTAGGGTTAAATGGGAACGTGTTTTATCTCGCAATCCTGGATACCAACAAATACAAAATGTTTGTTACATTTTGAGAGGACAGAACCAAAGTGATCCGGATATTAAAATGAAGCCTTCAGATATAGCTTCCTTGAAATTTGCGCCGATCACATCATGTGATGACAAACGCCACAATTTAAGCATGGTTAGTATTAACCAGTTATTAGTTTATACTGCAACCCTATCGTTTAACTTTTTGTGTGCGCTGGTTTGGATTAGTACTGTACTGTTCATTACAGAAAAACCTATTTTGTTTTGTTGACTTTTAGTTTAATATCATTTGATATGATATTATATTTTTTATTATATCAAACATAATATATTAAAATACTAAGTGACATACAAATAAAAAGTTGGTGAATGTATTTATCTTACTGTGAATAACAAGTGAAAAAATTTTCAGCCTTATCAGTTGGACATTCCGGTTTTTAAACGGCTTTTTTTTAATTCACTAACGCTCTAAAAATGAATATTTCAGCCGCAGTAAAGAATCAACGTTGGCGGATTTTGGTTCTTGACATCCTTTACGATCGGTTACGATTCCTAGAGTACGGAGACCTGTACGATTTCGTCAACTTAGTGAGTTTGATAGGGGCCGTATAGTGGGACTTCGGGAAGCTGGACTTTCTTTTCGGGCAATTGCAGTTAGAGTGCAAAGAAGTGTAGACACTGTGGTTAGGTGTTGTCAGGCATGGCTTCGAGAAGGCCGTACGCAAAGAGCAAGGGGCACTGGACGCCGCCGTAGAACAACAGACCGTGAAGATCGCCGCCTAAGATTATTGGCCTTAAGGGACCGTTTCTCCACTACCAGGTCCATTGCAAATGAATGGTTTGCAGGACACGGAAGACCTTTTGCGAAGTGTTTACCGACGAATGAGAAGTTTTGGCTTGTTTGCATACCGGCCACACTGGGTCCTCCCTTTAACTCGAGAACACCGACGTAATCGCCTTGAGTGGTGCAGACAACGGTCACTCTGGGATCAGGAATGGAACAGTATTGTCTTTAGTGACGAGTCTCGATTTTGTTTAGGCATGCACGATGGTCGTGCCAGGGTTAGAAGGTGACGTGGTGAAAGGAGGAATCCACAGTTTTTTGTTGAAAGACATGTTCATCATACTGTTGGAGTTATGGTTTGGGGTGCTATAGCTTATGGTTCCAGGTCACCTTTAATCTTCATCAGAGGTAACATGAACGCGCAGCGTTATATCCACGAAGTTCTAGAACCCCATCTTTTACCCTATCTTGATCCAACTTTCCAACAAGATAATGCCCGACCACATGTTGCAAGAGTCACAATAGACTTCTTTCAACATAATGATGTCACATTGTTACCATGGCCACCAAGATCTCCCGACTTATCCCCAATTGAGCACGTGTGGGATATGATGGGTAGGAGATTGCTCAATTTGCAACGTCCTCCTCAGACTCTAGAAGCACTTCGAGAGGAGTTGGTGGTTGCCTGGAATGAGATACCACAGGAGGACATTGACCACCTGATCAGAAGCATGCCTAGGCGCGGTGGAGAATGCGTAGCACATCAGGGTGCATCCACACATTATTAAAGGTCAAAGGGCTTTAAAGCAGTGCAATCATTTTGAAATTTTTATCATTTACTTATTATGCTTCATTAAGTACTTATACAAAATTTTATTAAAATAAAACCATTTTAACTGGGTGTTCGGATTTATATGTCACTTAGTATATATAAGCGTTTATTTTTTTGTGTTCGCAGATTTATGTTTCAGTTTTTCCACATATAACATCCATATTTCGTCTATTTTTTACAGCATAGAAAAACATATTTTGCAGTTTTATACCACATAAAAATCCGGACCTTATTGATAAGCCTTGCGTTAGATGGTTGGTTTGCACTGGTGTTGAGTAAAAAATCGCAACATGTGAATTATTCACTGTCACATGTGTGAATATCTGTAAATGTACTCAGTGACTGACTAGGCCGTGGACGGCATTAAAAAAGTTTAAAGGCTCGAATGCGGTTATAGAGTATGGTAACAGGTCTACCTTCTTTTCAAAATCATTGGTCAGCTAGTTGTCTGATGCGCCTTTCTTGACGCTCTGTGGTATGCCTCGGCGGACCAGTTGGCTTTCATCGTATTCCTATACCTCCTATCCACGCATAACAGACTTCTGGGTGTAACACTTCTGATGTCACTAAGTATACAGGGTGATTCACAACTTATCCGACAAATTTGTTACGATGATTTAAAAAAAAATGTAATAAAAGTCCTACAGAAATCGAGATAATAAAATAATACAGTTTAACAGTTCACTTAATTATAAAAGCTGTTCAAAATTGTTTCCATTGACTGCAACGCAAGCTTAGGCACGTCTAATCCAATTTCGACGTGCTAATTCAAATACACCTCCTTCTTGCTGTGCCTGAAGGCTCAAACTACCAGCAGCCACTGTGATTCGGTCACGCAGTTCTTCAATATTCTGAACTGTTTTTCAAGAATTCCAATGTTGCATGTGACGCTTCTGGGACCTGTTGTTCTAACGATTAACGCAAAATACAGATATTCATTTTTCAATTTATTATTGAAACTTAATTTCTGTAGGACTTTTCTATCATATGTGGTTAAAATTCATCGGCTTAGTTGTGAAACAGCCTGTATTCCGAATGTACTGTCGCAATTCCAGTACGCCCATGCGAAACCTTGACTGTAGTTAGTATATTTACACTGAATAGATAATTATCTATAGTCGCTCTTTTTAATTCATTATGCTTTAATTTCATATTCAATTATTTCTCGGTATTTTGGAATGGCCAGGAACTCGAATACTGTAACAGCGATCATTACGTATGTAACAGAGTAGGTAGATAAACCTATTTTATCGAAACACATATGCAGAAAAAACTAGATTTGACACTGAATGAAAAGCTCAACGATGCTAACACTGATAAACTCAGGATTTGTGACATGATATTTTTTGGGTGTATCTTATGTAATTTGAAACTCTTAAATCAAATCTAGAAACAGAATTTTTAACATCTACTTTTATGAATTACAATACGTAACGTCTCATATTGCTGCATTTCTCGGCGTTTTTTTATATAATGTTAAGACCTATCTATTCATGTTTATTATATGCCAGCTCTATGTTTAGAGAGCATATTGCGTTTATTAGTAGAAAAATAAACAAAGTGT